TAGTTGTAAAACGGTCACCAGGCAATATTATCGTTTATCGCAATAAATTTTGAGACAATTAATCGTCCAGCAAAATTTGTTATCGTGACAGGCCTATATATATTCATTTATGTACTGTATTAGGTACATGTACATTGTTATATATCACGAGTATAGTGTTTTTTTCTTTTACTTATCTTTCTTTATTCTATCTCACCCTGTCCTGTTTTGAGCTGCTGTAATGTGCAAATTCCCCCACTGTGGGATCAATAAAGTTTTATCTCATCTTATCTTATTTCAACCCAAAGACAACAGTCCAATCCTGTAGTTTTAAAGTATAATGTAACTCTCATTTGGTTGAATTTAGGTGATGTAAATTAATTGCTAAATGTGTGTTTTGCCTTGAAAAGCAACAAATGTGCTTTGACAGTATGTTTTAAGTCATTAACCATCTGTACTGTGAAACACATTAGGTTTTGTTGCATTTGACTGAACCTGAATTTTTTAAGCAATCTGAATGAATATTTATTCAGGTTTCTTGAAGGTCTGACATTTTTCTTTGGATTTTCACTGCTTTTTACTTGTTTTCTGTCCTGTCACTGAACCTGACCATTTTCAGAGAAATTATTTTTGTTTATTAGGACAGCCTATGAGTCATCCAAGCACAAAAAATACATTTGTTTTTGCAGTAGTGGCCTTTTCCACTTGAATTAAGAGCTCTGACTGCAAGATGTATCTAAATACAAATGGAACTCTTGGTTCAAATCCAGTTTTTTTTCTTTTGCTAAGCTGATGAAGATAATTAAGGAAGAAGCCACAGTTCATAAAAGACATGTAGAATTAAGAGACAGTCTCATCTTTGAGCCAAGGACAAAGGTTTGTGTGTATTAAGAAGAATTTAGTTGAGTGAACGTGAACTAAAAGACAGGATGTGACTGATCTGAAGGTTTTGCTCAAGCACCTAATATTTGTTGTGTGGTACAAGGTAACACAGCTTATTGATGAGTTCAAACAGGAAAGTCATTCTTCTTCTTCTTTTTTTTAAAGCTTCAACATCAACCACTATTGTCTCTGTTAGCAAGAAACTCAAATAATGCACAGAATTTAGTGAAATTCTCAGACAGCAATTATTGAATGTACATCCACAACTGAATTGTAAAATGTAAAAAATGTAAAAGCGAATTGTGAATTTTCTGTACCGTTGCACCCCTAGTATTTAGTTGTATAATGCTTCTGAAATTTAACTTAGTTTTTGTTATATAAATGTTGGCAGTGTAATAAATCGTGTATTGTTGTTTATCTGTGATTGTATAACTATGTTTAAGACGTGACAAGGATTTCTTTTCAAATTTGAGGTACAGTATTTGATTTGATAACCAGTGTATCTTTTGTATTGCAGTTGTGACTTTTAGGCAAAATGAACCTGACTTTCATCATTTTTAAATGTTACATATGCACCATTTTATCAGCAAACCAAGTGTATCAGCTGATCTGTAATCTAACTGCAGAAAGTCACTGAGAAACCAGAAGTTGACACCCTCACTGAACTGCTGCTCTAATGTTAAATCAGATTGTCTTTCATGCTCTCCTACCAATAAAAGTGCAGAATTAAAAAAACTTGAGTGTCTCTAGGAGACAAAAATATCTGTTTTTGTCATTTTTAATATATGGACATAAGAACTCAGCTCTTGTGGGTTCTTAGTGAGCAATCAGTTTGTAATCACAATCTTGATGATAGGTGGTATTTATCATTATAGGCAGTGACTACCTGTTCTTTTCATCATCTTGGTACTCAGAATCCCATTCATCAMGTCTAAAGATTTTGTAGCACCGTGAGAATGCACAATGTGCTCTTAAATTTTCTTATAAGCCCATCTACTTCTGGCCACATCACATTTTTGATTCCTAGCTCAGATGGTGACTCATCACTTGTCTTTTATTTGCCTTTTCTCACCTGTACTGCTCCAGCAGCTGCACAGCCTGATGCTCCTGAGGATGTCTCCTCATGTGGCTCTTCAAACTGTTCATATTGGTGGTGGCAAAATCACAGCCACAGCACCTAACACAAAAAAAGAGCAATGAAAAAATGGCAACCGAGTGATGAGTTTAACAAGCTGCATTCTGAGGTCAGTGCATTGCTCTTTGTAGCCTGAAGGGAGATCAGAGGGATTTACAACAAAAACAAAGAAGGAATTGTCATTTTTTGAAAGAAAAAAAGACATCGTGCTCTGCCTGTGTTGCACTCAGGACGTTCTGGTTGGAAGATGAGGCTGGCCTTTTGTCGTTGCTTGGAGGCAAAAAATGTTCAAGGTCTGCCGACAGAGGCTACACTCACGGCCAAGTGCACATCATTAAAACAAAGCAAGAAACACAACAACTTTCCTCTCCTAAAGCACAATGCTTTAACAGAATGCAGCCATTCAGTTTGTTCAGACGAATAAAGAGACTTGAGCTATTAGACAAAAATGCAGCAGATTTTATGTATTCAGTCACTATTTTTCAGTGGTTTTCCCTCATTTATTATTACTTTTGTTCAATTTAGGTTGTATAGAAACTTTTTATGATATGTGAGCTGGAATAGATCTAAATCTAAATATTCCAATAACACTGTCATGTGAACAAATTAGAATTAAAGAAAGAGCAGCATTTATTACAACAAATCCATTTATCTGCTTTTAGGTTGTGGTGTACTCGCTGCAAAATAAAACATCTATGCATAAGAGAAGCTCATAAAAACTTAATGTTTTTTTCCTCTGCACTGAGCATTGGAGATAAATGAGAGGGTGATATGACAAGAAGTGAGCACAGCTTTGTTAAAATTCATGTTTTGAATGCACTGTCCAAACAAATGTGCTCAACACAGAAGTAGATAATGGCATGCAAGTGTTTTAATTCATTTTGTTTTTAAACAAAGAACGCTTCTGATTATATTGTGTTTGCTTGTATCCATAGTCCCCAAAGAAGTTGGCCTTCTTTAGAGGTCATTATTTCTTGCCTGGCAGCAGCTGCAAGGCAAACAGTACAAGACTAAAAGATGTAAGTGCTGACTGCCGGAAGCAATCTTAACCCTAATCTCCCTTTTTAAACTCTTTACTGCTGTTTATCCACATTGATTTTGGTACAGAAGCAGTACATCAAAACGCATACAGTTCTGGTTGCTTTGTGTACATTTACTTTAAATTAAAAACTAGTAAATAAATACAAAAAAAATCAAATAACCACAGTCTTACACTGCAACAGTTGCTAGAAGATGCATTTTAACTTTTCCAAAAACATGGTTATTACAAGTTTGATTTGCGTGCCAAGCACTCTGCTGATGAAAGAAGCTAAAAACTACTTTCTTTTCGACATGTTTAAGCTTAATGAAAGATAGTAGTCTTACAGTTAAGGTTTAATTGCACTTCTGCTACAGTTTTTTTTTTTTTTTTTTATCAACTGGAGGGAAATCTTTAACTTCACCTGAGGGCACCTCTTCACTGCGGTTAGAGGCTGCTGCACCACACAAACTCTATATTAGACACAATGCATTATTTTCAACTGCACCCATGGTGCAGCTGCAGAAAGTAATATGTAAACTAAAAATAAGAGTTGAAGGTTCAGCTGCAGCTCAAACACTTTTAAATACAGTTCAATTGTGATATTTTGCTTAACAGAGCATAAGAAAAAAAAAACAGCTCCTCAATGATGCAGCTGATTATTGCAGCTAAAACCACGAAGAAGAAAACTTGTTTAATGAAATATTCAATCTGTAATTTTTCAAAACAGCTGATGCTATGTCAACATTACCCACTGTTGCAGAACAAATCTGTTTGCTGTCAAGACTGCAGCATTTCAGACAGATGTTTTTATTTTATTTTTGTTGTTTTTTTTTTTTTCCCTTTTGGCTGCTTGTCCTTCTTAGGGGTTGCCCTAGCGAGCAAACTCACATGAACCGTTGCAAAAAAATCTATGAAAAAATATTTATTTGCGAATGAGGCTGACAAGTTGAGTGTGTCTGCAAAAAGAAACATAATACACTTTGAAAGAAGGGGGTCATATTCACATAAGACCAATAAACGGATGTCATTCAGCTCAGCTGAGTTAGTTTTTTATGCTGAGCTAAGCTAAACAGTAGCAAAATACAGAAAGCAACACATCTGAAGTTGAACAATAATTCAGTGGAGAATCAACTTTACAGTATTATAAGCTGACTGTAAAAGCCACTCATGATGAAATGAAGCAAAATTTTAAATCTACAAAAGCTAAAAAGAAACAAAAGTATGTTTACTGCTTGACGAATGGTTTAACTAAACAATTAGGTACTTAGAAAAACATACTGACTGCTGGAACTAGTATAATTGGAGCATCATTAGAGTTAAAACAGTGAGATTCAAAGAAAATTATAATAAATCAATCCCAAGAGCTTGTAACAGTGTGTCAGACATGGCATCAATTTATTTCCGTGTCAAAAATAAAATGATGGTCATTATCTCTCGTGCTCATCTTATCATCTAATGGGGCATCTCACACTAAGAAAACTGTGGTTGATGAAATCAGAACAGCAGTGCACAGGGAGCTTTTTAAATCAAACATGTTTGTGTGTGATTCAATGGTTGAGACGAATGACTTTTAATAGGCTTCAGTCTCTGTAACAAAACAATAATGGGCGTTACGGCACTCTGCCAATTACACTGATGTTTCCAGCAGACAGAAAACTGTTCAATATGAGCTGCAGAGCAGTTTGTGGTTTGAGTGTCCCATTTTTTATTCYATCCAGATATTATCACATCAGTCTGTTGGGGCTTCGGACTCAACTACTTCCACTTATTTAATTACAACAGCTAATAAAACAGATGCAGAGCTACGTCAGCAGGGGACTGTGAGCAGGAGCACACAGCTGACAAGATCCATCACTGACCGGAGAGGCTGTGCTTATGGGTTGTTTTTAATTCTAGTAAGCATTAACGCAATCAGTTTCGTTTTTCCCCACATAATGACAGTGACACATTTTTTCTGTGTGATTAACAAGGCGTGATTTTCTATATTTTTTTCTGTTAAATGGTGCTTGCATTTAGATTGGGAATTACAATTACTAAGTGTATTTTATGTACAATATATGTATGTGAACGACAACTTTAGTAATATTTTACTAAAACTGCAGAATTTGCAGAATGACCTTTTGTTTTAAAATTTAAAAGAATTTAGATTTTATTTTAGACATCACTTACAAAAGCTAAATATTAAACCCAACCATGGATCTGATTTGATAGCTGAACATTCTACTTCTGCTTAATAACGGTAAAAATGTTGATCAACCTAATGAGCACAAAAAWTATTTAGCTTTTGGCCTTTTCTGAAAGCTCAAGTTATTTTAAGCTGTAATGAAACAATATTTAAACAATTATATTCCACGTTTTTAAACAGATGTGCTTCACACACACAGCTGCTATTCATTTTCCATTTAGAAATGACCAACTTTTCCAGACTTTAATGTTGAAACTTAATTTTTAACATCATACTGACATCAGCACATCAGAAAATTTACAGAAAGGGTTCAAAGGGTGACCCATCTGTTTTTATACCAAGGTCTTCAAYACAAAATAATGCACTGCCAAAAAAAAGTTGCCACCAAAAAAGAGGTCACACACTAAAAGTTCATTGGACTGCCTTTAGCTTTGATTACGGCATGCACTCACTGTGGCATTGTTTCGATAAGCTTCCTTGACCTGCCCAACTGCAGCGACCCCAGATCATAAACTGCCCCAACAGGCTTAAGGCACTAGGCATGACTGCTGCATCCTCGAAGATGATGGGTCTCCATTATCCTTCCGGTTTTTAATAATGCGTTGGATAGTTCTTAATGTAATTTTAGTAGTTTCTGCAATCTCCTTAGATGTTTTCTCTGCTTGATTCATGTCAATGATTTGACCCTTCTCACAGAGACTGACATCTTTTCCATGACCACAAGATGTGTCTTCCAACATGGTTGTTTAAGAAGTGAGAAGCAACTCATTGCACCAGTTGGGGTTAACCCTCCTGTTGTCC